CACACACACACGCCCGGCGTGAGTTTTAAAACACCGACCGGGTCCAGGACATGAACCGTGGTCGACTACGTGGGAGTCCAGCAACATAGCCATTACGCTAACTGCTGGTTCCCCCAAGGACATTATTTTTATTTATTTATTTTTTTTAGGACATTATTTTTTAACATAATAAAATAGTATCTTGGTATGAAAGGCAGCATCACAGTTAATGAAGGAACACTACAAGATAAGGATGTCCTATCACAACAATTATTAAGCATTACATGACAGGAAATTAGTCAATTAAAATAAAAAGACAGATTTAAACATGCATGTAACTCACACCCAGGGAACTGATAAATCTGAAAACTATTTCAACTGGAAGTATCAATAAATTAACAACCTATAAAAGTAACATAAATATGTTTACACAAATGAGAACATTTACACAATGACAAGATATCCACTGTAGTAATCTATTTCACAACAAAAAAGTATACAACTGGGGCCAGTAGGTGGTATGTGCTGGTGGTTAAGGTGCTGGATCACATGACTGACCATGGTTTGAATCCTGGACCTGGCAGCCTGAAAATCACACCAGGCATGTGTGTGTATACTAATCCTGAGAGGATAATGGAGAAGAAAGATTGTGGTGTAGTCATATCTCCTGGAGGATTATTACTCACCTTTCCTCTCTCTGTCCTTTTCTGGAGAGCACACATGCCTTATGACAAAAACCTAAAGAAAAAAAAAAAAAAGTGTACAACCACATTATGGTAGTAACCAATGTAAAATATTAAAAAACCTTGAACAAATAAAGACATATGATAACAATCTATAGATAGGAAGATTTTACATCATAAAGATGCCAATTCTCCCTAACTAGGTAAACTGGTTTTTATATTATTCTAGTGAAAATGAACATATTCTTATATAGATAAATAGGTTAAAAGTTTATGCGGATTCAGGACACTGATAGTACCAAGACAGCCAATGGGAAGAATGCAGTACTCATCCTCTTCCCTAAAAGGACATATAATCATTAAAAATGCCATGTAGGATATCTAGGGAAGAACACATGAACACTTCAAAGAAAGATCTCAAGTTTTCTGTAATGAAAATTCAAGAGACGCATCGTAAAAACGCAGAAGCACACAAATGGCTGCTATCAGCAGGATGGTCTCAGTGGAAGCTCCTTTGCTAGGAAGGTATTAGCACGATATACCTAGCTATGCCTGATATCACTGTGGATATCAGTCTTAGCTGCCTGGGATTACAGTGTCCTCATGGCCCAGGTCCAGTGAAGGAAAGTTCTTGAGACCAAGAGGGTGGAATAACTTCAGGGAATTAAGTTGCCCTGGATGACCCCGCCTCATAGGACCTGAGCTATTGAGAGGCACCTTTCTGGGAACTATACAACTATTCCAGTAATGTACGGACTAGGGACCAAAGGCCTGCAAGTCTCTACATCACTGAGAATCCAGTGAAACTCTACCAAGCCCACATGAGTAACTGCAATTATCATCTCAGCTAGACTGAGAAGTAGGGTCATAACTCTGTTACCCAAATCGATGCATATACATTCTGGGACTTAGATGTACCAGTGTGGCAGGAGGACTGCTCCAAGGAATGGGTAGATTAAAAACAGGAGACTTCTGCTGTGCCCAGCTCACATAGAGACATCAGTGCACAACCCTTGCTGGGTAGATTAAAAACAGGAGACTTCTGCTGCTCTCAGCTCACACAGAGACATCAGTGCACAACCCTTACCCCACTGAGGGGATCCAGCCGCTGCTATCTCCACAGTTCCCAGCTTGAACTGGACCCAGTTCATGTGGTGGATCAAGTACCCTTCTCCCTGGAGAACATATCCAGGTGCTATCCCCATATCCTTTGGCTTACACTATAGCTCAAGCCCATGCTCCAGACGAAGCCCCCACAACCCTCACTGTGCTCTAGGCCCAGTTCATGTGCCAGCTTGAGTCTATGGCCCTTGACCCCTGCCTATACAGTCTCTGACTCGCCCTAGGTCTGGCTCATACCACACTTCAAGTCCATAGCCTATGCTCCCTGTGGAGATTCACTTTCTCTGGCGTGTCCTAGGCTAGGCACACACGGCAGCACCAGCATAAGAATCCCAGTCTTCTGTGGCAGCCTTTTATGCACTGCATGCCACTTTAACCTACAGGGGCAAAGCCTAATACACATTGAGGCTTAAGCGCTTGGGGCATTTCTTACTGTGAAAACCCTTCAGCCTTGGCTGATCCCCGGACTTGATAAGAACTGAGTGTAGCATTTGACACAAAGTATACAGGAACTGGCCCTAAAAAGAGTCTTCCAGACACTGTACAGCAGTACTTACTCTGCCTCTCTGGTTGAATACTCCTTTGTCATTTCTGTGTTCAACAGGCTCCCTAGAAACTGCAGGCCAACACTTCCACCTCCTACTATTGCCTGTGACCAACTTGTTCACTTGGAGAGCACCACCTCCACAAATAGGCATCACTACTACCGTAAGTAATGGAAGTCTAGAATACTGAAACACTCACAGATACCTCTGTCAGTAAACAAAACAGAAAACCTGTAGAAATTACATTATTATACCTACTTAAAACCAAAACACCTGAATTAGTCAACACTAAAGGACAGATTCCCAAGAAAAAAAATCCCCTAAAAGTGGAAGAGGTGACTATCCCACCAGAAGTGCAGCTATCAAAGCTGGCATGCAAGAATCATAAAAAATGACAGAGGCCCAGCAGGTGGCATGGTGGTTAAGGCACTTGTTCCCACATGACCAACTCTACAGTTTCAGTCCCAGACCTGATGGCTTGAAACACGTGCCAGGCACATATGCATTAGTGCCCACACTCCCAAGGAGATAATGGAGTAGAAGGGACTGCAGTGTGGCCATTCCTCTGGGGAGGGGAGTACTTTCTCTCTTCCTCCCTTTCTGTCTCCAGTAGAAGTAGGCGCTCTAATGTAAAAATCTAACAAAAGAAAAAAACAAAAAAAGAAACTTGACACTTCTAAAGAAATATAGTAATTCTCTAGTAACATATGAAGAAAGGATGCTCCCTGAAATGCCTGAAAAATAAATAAAATCATCCTAAAATAGTAAAAATACTGACAGTTCTAAAAGACCAGGAAAACAATACAAAAACAATAAAAAATGCATTAAAAATCATTAAAAAGAAAAGTCAAACTGAATCATTTGATAAAATAAGTTTAAAATAGGAACCAGTTAGTGGTGTGGTGGTTAAGGCACTGGAATTCCCACATGGCCAATGGAGGTTCGAGTCCTGGACCTTGCGGCTTGCTTTCTTACTCTTTCTCTCTGTCTTTCTCCGGCAAAACTCATGTGAAAATACTAATAAATAAATTAATTAAATAATTCTTTAAAAAAAAAGTTTAAAATACAATGAAGGACTTCAATAGCACTTTAGAAAAATCAAGAGAGACATCTCAAACCTGAAAGATAAATCCTTGGAGATCATGTGATCAGGAACATCACAGAAAAAGGAATGAAAAAGAATGAAGACAGGGCAGGTCTGTGACCTGGTGGTTAAGGTAGCTGGATTCCATATCCTGTGATTCAAGATCCAGATCCAGCATCTTGAGAAACACACTACATGTTTATACATGTCATGCCCAACATCCTGAAAAGCAGGAAAGAGAGAGAAGAAGGGATTGCAGCATGATCATTTCCATGGAAGATGCTTTATCCCTTTCCCTCTGTCACTCTCTGATGAGTCCACATGTCCTCTGCCAAAAAATTAAAAAAAAAAAAAAAGATGAAAACAACTTATGGGACTTATATATCAAGTAAAGAAATATATGCACCTTGAAAGTGTCAGAAGGGGAAGAGACTAAGAACAGAAAGTTTATTTTAAAAAGTAATAGGTTAAAAAAATGTAATAAGGGGACCAGCAGTTAGTGTAATGGCTATGTCGCTGGACTCCCACGTAGTCTACCGTGGTTAGCGTCCCAGACCCGGTGGCTTAAAACTCATGTCGGGTCCATGTATGTGCATGCCCAAGATCCCAAGAGGAGAGTAGAGAAGGGATTGCGGCCCGGCCATCCTCCCTGGGGGGTGATTTCTTGCTTTTTGTCTCTCTGCCCTATAGCAAAAGCCTCTTAAAAAATGTAATAGGTAAAAAAAAATTTACATGTATTAGAAGAGATATTGGGGCTGGCAGGTGGTATGGTAGTTAAGGCACTGTACTACCACATAGCAAATCGTGGTTTGAGTCCTGAACCTGGTAGCTTGCTTTCTCACTTTTTCTCTACCTCTTTCTGTCTGTCTCTGGTGAGCACACATGCCCTATAGCAAAGTTAAGACAAGGAGAATTCTGAAAGCAGAAAAAGCATCAAGCATCAAGTTATATATAATGAAATTCTCATCAGACCAACAGATTTCTCACCAGAAACTACACATGCTTAGAGGAAGTGATACCGTATATACAAATGCTAAAATAAAAAAACTGTCAATCAAGAACACTACTGGCAGCAAACTAATCTGGCAGAACGGAAGGAGAAATACTTTGACTTTATTCAGCAAGAACTGAGGGAATTCACCATCACTGAACTGGCATTACAAGAAATCCTTAAAGAAGTCCTACATTTAGAAGGAAAAAACCCTCAAAAACATGAAAACACAAAAAATACTGTTAGAATACACACACAAATGAGAAATAGAGGGGAATCAAATGCAATTTTCAAAAAACTAACAAAACCACATTCAACAACAAAGAGGTAAAAGAAACAAAACACACAAGATACAGAACACACCAAGAAAAATGATGAGAAAATTCTATCTATAATTACCTAATATTTAGTAAACAGATTAAATTCACCATTTAAAAGATATATACTATGAGGTCAGCAGGTAGCATGGTGGTTAGGCACTGGGCTCCCACATGGTCGAACGTGGTTTGAGTCCTAGACCTGGAGGCTTGAAACTGAGGCTGGGTTCATGTGTACCCAAAATCCCGAGAGGAGAATGGAGAAGATGCTGTGGCATGGCCATCCCCCTTGGGGGGGTGATTTCTTGCTTTCCGGCTCTCTATCTCTATGGTGAGTACACACACCCTATGCCAAAAACTTAAAAAAAAAAAAAAAAAAAAAAAAAGCCCAAAACATTAGCAGAAAAAAATAAATAAAAAACATAAGCATATACTGTAGTAGCTACAAGTAACTCGCTTTAATTGCAGAGATACACACAGACTAAAAGAGAAGAGATGGGAAAAGTTCCAAGTGAATGAAAAACAAACGTTAGCAAGAATCACCATACTGATAACAGACAAAATAGACATGAACTTAAAAATGATAAAAACAGAGACCAGCAGATGGCATAATGGTTATGTTGCTGGATTCCCATGTAGTCGATCTGTAGTCCCAGACCTGGCAGCTTAAAAATCACGCTGGTTGTGTGGGTGTGCGCATGTGTGCCCCAAAGCCTGAGAGGAACATGGAAGAGAAGGGATTGTGGCATGGTTATGTCCCCTGGAGGGATGATTTCTCGCTTTCTGTCTCTGTCTCTCTGGTGCCTTATAGCAAAAATATTTATCTTAAAAGAAAATTATAAAAATAGATTTAAAATACCTATGTATAGTAGTAATAGGATCAATGCAGCAAGAAGACACAGCAATTTTAAATATATATGTGCTCAGCATGGGAACACTTAACATACAAAAATACCATTACTAAAGCAAAAGCGAAAGATAAACTCCAATATACCACTCTTTGAAGACTTCCACATCCCAATTTCAACATAGGACAGATCATCTAGAGAGAAAAACCAACAAAGAAACATTGAACTTACTTCAACACCCAACTCTCAACCTTGGAGAAATCATCTAAAGAGAAAACCAACAAAGAAACATTGAACTTAACTCTACCATAGACTAAGTGGATATAACTGACATTTGCAGACTACTTCAACCACCATGTACAGAATACAGTTTCATCCTCACATGAATCATTCTCTAGGATAGGCTACATGTTAGATCATAAACTAAACCTCAAAAATTAAAACAAAGAAAAACCACGTCAAATATTTTTGCTAACCACGAAGGAATAAAACTAGAAATTATTAAATGAATCACTGTATGGGGCCGGCAGGTGGTGTGGTGGTTAAGAGCCCTGGACTCCCACATGGCTGACCGAGGTTCGAGTCCTGGACTTGGTGGCTTGCTTTCTCGCTTCCCCTCACCATCATTCGCCCACTCCGTCCCTCTCTGGTCAAACTTAAATAAATAAATATATAAAGTCAAAATAATAAAAATAACTCCTTTTTTAAAAAAAAGAATCACTGTAAATTATACAAATCTACTGAAAATAAACAATGTGCTCCTGAATGACCAAGTTATAAAAAGAAATCAAAAAGGAAACCACAAATTTCAGGGCCAGCTGGTGGTATGGTGGTTAAGGTGGCTGGATCTCACATGGCTGACTAGGTTCAAATGCAGGACCCAGTGGCTTGAAAAACACTCCTGGCTGGGGGCCAGCAGGTGGCATAGTGGTTAAAGCACTGGAGTCTCACACTGTCGACCACAGTTCATATTCTGGACTTGGCAGCTTGAAACTCACTCCAAGCATATGTGTGTACATGCCCCAAATCCTGAGAGAATGGAGGGAAATGAATTGTGGCACAGTCGTTCCCCATCGGGGATAATTTCTCACTCTCTCTCTGTCTCTCTCTGTGTCTTTGGCGAGCACACATGCCCTATAACAAAAATCTCTAAGAGAAAAAGAAAAAGAAAACACACTTGGCATGTGTGCGAGCATGCCCCAAATCCTTAAAAATGATGGTGAAGGGTTTGCACCATGGCCATACCCCTGGGGAATGCTTTCCCACTTTTCTCCCCTTCTCTCTATCTAGTGCACACACCCTATAGCAAAAGAGAAATTACTTATTATTATTTTTTTACAAATTACATACTTCATGGAAATAAATTTTAAAAAGACACAACATATTCAAACATATGTGCTACACTATCCCACACAGTCAACCACGGTTTGAGTCCTGGACCTGGTGGCTAAAACTTACGCTGGGTGCGTGTCCGTGCGTGCCCAAGATCCCGAAAGGAGAAAGGAGGAGAAGGGATTGCGGCGTGGCCATTCCCCCTGGGGGGGTGATTTCTCGCTTTCTGTCTCTCTGTCTCTGTCTTTCTGGTGAGTGCACGCGCCCTATAGTAAAGCCTCTACAAAAAAAAAAAGGAATACACCAAAAGCAGTTCTAAGATGAAAGCTTTGGGCCAGCAGGTGGAGTAATGGTTAAGGCATTGACCACTCTCACATGGCTGACCATGGTTCAAGTCCTGGACCTGGTGGCTTGCTTTCTCACTTTCTCTCTCTCTGTGTGTTTCTCTCTAGTCAAATTAAAACAAATGAGTGAATAAATTAAATAAATAATTCTTAAAAATAAAAAAAGATGAAAGTTTCTTTTCTCATAAGTATCTTTATAGGAAAAGAAAGCAAAAAGGGAAGGATTTCAAATAAACAACCTAAACACCCATATGAAGGAACTACAAAAACAAGAACACACTAATGTGAAAATTAGCAGGAGGGGCTAGGAGATGGCATAATGGTTAAGGCACTGGACTCCTACGTGGCTAACCATAGTTTGAGTTCCAAATCTGGAGATTGAAAATCATGCTGAGTGTGTACACATGGCTCAAATTCCAGGAAGAGAATGGTTGAGATGGCACTGTGGCATGGCCCCACACCTAAGGGGTGATTCCTCACTTTCCCTCTCACTGTCCCTCTCCAGGGAGTGCACACACCTTATAACAAAAATCTTAAAAAAAAAAAAAAATCAGCAGAAGGAAAGCAGTAATAATCAGAGAAGAAAACAATCAAGGAAAGATCAATGAAACAAAAAGTTGGCTTTTTAAAAAACAGATAACCAGAACTGAGAAACCACTAAGGCTAAGAAAAAGAGAAAGCCCAAATAAATGAAAATCACAAACAAAAAAGGAAACTTTACAACTGATACCTTAAAAACAAGTTAGAGACTATTATAAACAACCTGAAAATAATGTAGATGAGATAGATAGATTTCTAGACTCATACAACCTATTGAACTAGTCCAGAAAGGAATAAAAACTGTGAATATGCCAATAATAACTGATAAATGGAATCACTGATAAAAATTCTCCCAATGAATAAAATCCAAGGACCACACAGTTTTACTGCTGAATCCTAAAAAACTTTTAAAGGAAAGCTAATACCAATTAGTTATCCAAAGAAATAAGCTATTCCAAAGAAAGTGAATTAGAACGAACCTTTCCAAATGAGACACATTATCCATATCAAAATCAGAGAAAGACACAACAAAATATACACCCAGAAATAAGAAATACAGAAGATGTCAAATAGGTTCAACACAAAAAAGACACTTTCCGAGGGATATAAATAGCCAAATGGCAAAAGCCAAAGACAACTATAATAATCAAAAATGGCAAAAAAGAAGTATTAAGTTACTTATAAATGATATCCCATCAGACTAACCTCAGATCTCTCAACAGAAATTACCCAAGCAAGAGAGAATGAGAAGACATATTCTGAAAAAAATAATTTCAGCCAAGATTACAATATTCATCAAAATTACCCTTCAAACTAAAAGGAGAAATAAAATCAATCCTGGATAAAAACAAAAAGAATTCACCAATACTAGACAAGATCCTCAAGAAATACTCAAAGGAGAATTATATCAGGAAGTGAAATGAAAATAAATACAAATAAGAGCTCCCAAAATAACTAGGAGAATAAAACAAAATGGTAGAGGTCAATCCGCACATAACAAGAGCATTATATGTAAATGAATTAAATTATCTAATTAAAATACACAGGATGAATGAATTAAAAAAAAAAAGACCGCTACATGTTGCTTACAAAAAACACACCTTATTGAGAAAGACATACAGATTAAAAGCGAAGGCCTTCAGGCCAGTAGGTGGAGTAGTGGTTGGCGCACTAGACTCCCACATAGCTGTGGTTTGTATCTTGGACCTGGTGGCTTGCTCTCTCTCTCTGTCTCTGTCTCTGGTGAGTGAATGTGTCCTATGGCAAATGTGAAAATAGTAATAATAATGAAAAAAAAAAAAACAACAATGAAGGCCTTCGAAAAGTCATTTCATGCAAACAGGAACAAACAAAAAACACCCTGGTGTCATGACATTGATTAGAAAGAATAGTCTCCAAGCTAAAAACAGTAAAAAGTGACAAAGAAGGTCAAAATATAGTATTAAAGGGATCTAGTCACTGAAAGAAATAAAACTTATAAATATTTATGCACCCAACCTCAGAGCACTCATATATACCTGAAACAAGGACTGCTAGACAAAAACAGAAAGAGACTACAGCACACTCATTCTTGGGGATTTCAGCAACCTACTCTCATCACTAGACTGGTCATTTATACAAAAAAATGAATAGACACACAAGAACTAAATGATACCATAAACTGAATGGACCTAACATTTATAGACCATATTATCAAAGAACCTGAAAATACAGTTTTTGCATCTCAACATTAATTTTTTTTTTTTTTAAGAAATTTTTGCTATGGGGCACATGTGCTCACCAGAGAGACAGAGCGTGACAGAGAGACAAAGAGTAAGAAAGCATCCATTGTCGGGGGCATGGCCACGCCACAATCCCTTCTCCTCCATTCTCCTCTTGGGATTTTGGACACGTGTGCGCACACACACACACAACCAGCGTGAGTTTCAAGCATCCATGTCCGGGACTCGAACTGCAGTCAACCATGTGGGAGTCCTGCAATGTAACCACTACAGCATCTGCTGGTTCCCCTACATGAAATATTTTTAAAGACTGACCATATATAATGGGACATAAAACAAGGCTTTACAAATTTAAAAGAATAACAGTTATATCTAGCAATTTTTCTGATGATGCATTAAGCTCGAACAACAGAGTTTTAGAAAATTTACAAATACATAGAAACTATTCAATTTACCCCTGAACAACTTCAAAATTACTTTTTAAATAATTATTTATTTAATTTTATTTATTATTTAATTTGTTATAGGGCACATGCACTCACCAGAGAGAGAGAGAGAAAGAAAGTGAGAAAGCAAGTTGGCAGTGGTTATGTCACTGGACTCCCACATGGCTGACCACAGTTTGAGTCCTGAACCCAGTGGCTTGAAAACCACGCTGGGTGTGTGTGTGTGCATATGTGCTCAAGATCCCAGGAGGAGAAAGGAGAAAAGACTGTGGTATGGCCACGACCCCAGGGGGAGATTTCTCATTTTCCCTATCACTGTTTCTGTTTTTCTCTCCAGTCAGTATATACACGTCAAGAAAAAAAAAAAAAAAAGAAAGAAAGAAAGAAAATAGAGTAAAAAAACAAACAAACAAAATAAGACCTGAAAAGGGTGCTATTACAACAGGTATCACATAAGTATAAAAATCCTTACAGAATACTTTGACTATACATCAACAAATTGGAACACATACTGGAAATGATTAAACCAGGAAGAAATGGAAAGCCAAAAAGAGACCAACAGTGAGTAATGAAATTGATTCAGTAATAGTCTCCAAGAAAAGTAAAGTCCAGGTCCCGATAGCTTCACTTCTGAATCCTAGAAAACTTTTTAAAGAATTAACACCAATCCTCCTCAAACTATTTCTAAAGATACAAATGGAAGGAATCCTTCCAAACTCATTTTATAAAGCCACCATCACCTCGATTCCCCAAAAAAGAAAACTTCGAACCAATAGTCCTGATAAATATGGATGCAAAAATCCTCAATAATATATTTGCAAATGAAGCCCAACATCACAAAGATTATACCACGATCAAGTAGGCTTTATCCCAAAGGTGCAA